TTTGCAAATAGCAAAAAATAAAAATGATGGATCTCCTTCAGGGTATGTCTCTGCTGTCACAGTAGGCAACATAGGCATCCGTGTGCATATATGAGTCAATGAGTCTCAGAAAGCCAGCAGCAGATTTGTGAGATTCAGGCAGATTTCTGGATGCTAGTCCCAAACTGAGCTCCCTATCCTCCTGCAGGGTTGAACTCTGCAAAGTTCTACTGCAGGTTCCAGCTGCCCTTCCCCTGAAGATAGTGCAGATTTTGATGGGAGGTAATGGTCCCAGGTGATGATCCCTCCAACTTACCAAATACAGTGTTCTGATGTGCCTTTATTGTAGAGATTCTCTTGACTTTTCCACTGAGCTTCAGTTTTCATCGAGGAGCCTGAGAAGGCCTCTTTCTGTTACTAACTTCTGCTTTATCTTGTGGCACTCAGGACAAGGGTCTTTATAATCCCCTGTGCCTCTGTAGTGTGGGACCAGGTAGCAGACAAGCCAGAAGGCCAGAGGCGTGGGACGGGGGGAAAGAAAGAGTGGGACTAGGCCTTGGAGGAGCCCACTCAGCTAAGCAGACCTCAGCGTGGCATGGGCGGGGCCCGGGACAGCAGGGGAGTTTCATGCTGCTTGTCTCACCGGACTATGCAGGCTGGTCGAGGCTGGAAGAGTGTCGGATGGGGACAGGGCTCCAAGCGGAGCCTGGGACCTCACAGTGGCGTGAGCGGGGCCCGAGACGGCCGGGGAGCTTCACGCTGCTTTGCTTGTCTCACCCACAATTCTCCTTATACAGCAATCACAACATGATTTTTTGGTAGTGAACCAGAAGGCAAAAACCTAAAAAAATTTCAGTTGGAATATTAGGAAGGAATGGGGAAGGATATCTTAACTTTTTCTTGAGTATTTCTCTTCACTTACTCTATTTGCATGAATGATCAGTTTAAATTCCTATTGCCTATGAAAGTGACAGTAGCTTGTCTTCCTTCTTAAACTTATGAATTTAAATGTATTCTACATTTTGGTATCATATTAAACCTCATTAACATAATTCTGAGCTCCTTCGTCTTTAAAGGCTCTCCTTTGACAAGGTCAAATGCATAACTCTGTAGCTTGACAACCAAGGTTTTCTATGACTACATCCCAGTGTCTCTTCCATTCACCTACAGCACAAACCTTCCCTGGAAGCCTTATCCCGCTCCTCAGATATTTAACCCCACATGCCAAATGCCAGCTTTCCAGATGCTGTTCATCTTGCACGATGTGCATGTGAATCCATTTCACAATCCCACGACTTCCTTAGCTGGATGTACTGTGATCTTTTCTCAGTAGTTTTGTCTATGTTTTTTATGTGACACCAATCCAGGTCAGCTTGCTGCTGAGGATGTTCACATGCATGTGTTCTTTATTCTTCAAGAATAACTCTTTGAAAAAAAATGTTATGTATAGTTCCTAACAAACTGCAGTGTATATAAGATTTCCTCATTAAATATATTTTAAATAATGATAGCCGACTGAATTTGAGCACTTGCTATGTATTCTAGAAGTTTTACATATTTCACTTTTTTAAACCATCACAGTTATATGATAGATGTCCTATTTTTATTCTCATTTTGCAACTGAGAAGCATAGAAACCTTAACTAAATCAGTGTTTCTGTACTAAGTAAATGGTGGACCAGAAAGCAATCTCCAATAGTTTACTCCACACTTTTCTGTAGGATCAGTCCAACAAATATATGGATGAATGTGAGTCACCTTATAGCCCTTGATACAGGTTGCACTGGCTTCTAAAGCAAATGAACAAACCTGAATGACTGTAACTTTCCAATAGCATTTTATGAAGAGTTTTATTTTTTGTGGCAATGGTCCAACCCACCTCTAAATAAAACTTAATATATTGAGAAATTCCTATGACTTAATTCACACTGCTAACCTAGAATATAGATGATAACCCAAACATAAATAATAAAAGATCTTCTCCATTTCTCTCCCTCTCTTCCTTCTTTCCTTCCTTCCTTTCCTCTTTCTTTCTTCCCTCTGTTGTTTCATCCAGAGATTATCTAACATTTTCATCGTTACTTGGAATTTAAAAAATAGCATAGTACTTTAAAATATCTGTTTTGTATAAGATGGTTCAAGACAGGTTATCTTTAAACAGTAATTCATGTAGTGGTTCAGAGTACTTGCTGAAATTGTCTCTTTGGTCTAAGTTCCTTTCCCCTACTCTCAGAAGCTATTAATGGAGTTAAGTGGAAGGCAATAAAACTGCTATAGTGTGATCTGACCCCATATGACTTTTGCAAAGTGCATGCTTAAGACTTCTACACTTTTTTGGCAGGAATGGAGGGTAAATAAATAGAAAATCTTGGGCATTATTCAATATATTTTGAATGTTCTGTTATAACTTTTAGAACATTTCCTAAAATAGCAATTATAAAAAATATATGTAGATATTCCAACTTCGTAAATAATTTCTAAGCTTGTATTGTATACTTCAGACTAAATGAAAGAACTGAGTGGCAAGAAAAAATGTAATGAATTTTAGCAACATAAAGAGAAGAATGGCACAACTAATATTTTTCCTCCACAGATATATTAGAAAAATAATTTTTGAAGGGAATGGTTGGAGCAGAACAAGTGAGCTGGCCTCAATCTAACTGTAGTGAGAGACTGTCCTCAATCCATACATAGCTTGTTTCTGGCTAGGAGGTGGCTTTTTTGGCCTTTGTCACCAATTATCATGGCACACGGGAAAAGTTCCTGAGTCCTGGAAAGCTGTCACCTCCAAGAAGTCCTAGACAGAGCTGCTGCCTCTTGCTGCTCAGCCCGGATCAGTGTAACCATTACCTGTGAAATTAGGATGATGTGGTTTGCAAATAGACTCATGATGTACAATTGTGTTTGTAAACAACAGGTGGTATCTATGTATGACCTTTTATTTTTCTTCATTTGCTGCTAGACTGCTCAAGTTTTGCCAGTTTATTTGTTGTATAGTAAAGAACAAAAATTGAATTTCCAACTTTTAGCCATAGAGTTGTTAATCAATTTTAAAAATTTATGATCAGTGACTTGGTAATAAATCAGTGACATTGACAGATGGCACAACAAATATGCAAAATGCATTTTACTAGTCTGTTATATGCATCACTTAATTTAATTCTCACAACAAATTGATGGCACATGCAGAATTTTCTTCTAGTTTAGAAATTAGGGAACTCAGACTTCTGTAATTGGGAAGGTGACTTCAAAACTCATTGGATATTCTAGTCATCAAACCAAAGGTTTGTATTTTAAAGCTCATGATAATTCTCAGATTTCTTTTCTTTTCTTTTAATTAGGCAGTATTAGTGACCACTCTCAAATAATAATTAATAAGTAAATAAAATGCTAGCAATCTGAAACATTATGTTCATTTAAAATTTTTGTTCAGTGCAGTCTTTACCATGTAGCCACTGTTTATTACTTGAATGGTGAGATGCTAAATAAGTCCATGCAAAAAGCTTGAAGAACATATAAATCATCTCTTAATTTTGTTTGATCTTACCACAGTGGATCAGGTGGAAGTACAAGTATTTCTATTTCTATATTGAGGATATGGAACTAGAGCTGAGATGTGGAATTTAAGCACTATTTTTCTGACCTAAACTCTCTATTTTCTGTTCTATAGAATATTTTCATTTTTTTGTTTTGTTTTATTTTGCTTTACTTTTCTTGGTGAGTTATATTTGGAGTGGCAATTCTTTTTGCTAAGGATTTAAAAATTCTTAAAACTGAGTTTTATAAACTTCTAACAGTTATTTATAAATGAAGTGACCTATTGTCTAATGATTTTGGAGAAATCTTCATACTATAGCTGCTTTTTGTGATTTAAATTTTCTAATGAGAAATTTTCAAATATATCTTATTTATTTAGTAGAACTTTCTCCTTCCTCTTTTTTTTTTGGATGGAAATAAAATCTTAGTCCACTTAGCAGGCTCCTATAACAAAAGTAACATAGACTGGGTGCGTCTAAAAACCATCAGTTTTTCACAGTTCTGGAGGATGCCAAATTTAAGATTAAGCTTATACCAGATTGGGGGTCTGGTGAGGAACCACTTTTTGGTTTATAGATAGGTCACTTTTACAGTATTTTCACATGACAGGAAGGGCAAGGGAGCTCTCTGAGGTTTCTTTTATAAAAAAAAAAGTTATTACCACTTATAATAGTTTCTCTTTCATGACCTGATTGCCTCCAAAAGCTGTCAGCTCCCAAAACCATCACATTAGGGAGTACATTTCAATATGTGAATTTGGAGGGATCACAATCATTCAGCCTATAGCAAATATTTATTAACAGGCCAATGAACCAGGTTTTCACTGGCAATTTGTAGCAGTAGTGGTTGATATCAGCAGAAATATTCAATAAAACTTTTTGAGAACAGGAACTTTTTATTTCCACTAAAAATTTTTCAAAAACAAACAAAAATGGTAGGAGAAGACTTATAGCAGACCTAAATCAGTGACATGTAGAAGGTTTTTGTTGCAGGGTCTTTAAGGTTGTCTGAGAGACTTTGTCTTGAGGTTGACTCAGTTCCTATATAAGCAAAGAAAATTTGTCCTTTTTAGCCTTCTTGCAACACATAACAATAAAGAGTCACATTTGTAATTAAAACAATTTCAGACTCAGTTTCAGAGCAGCGCTGTTGTCTTCTTGTTTACAGCATTTGCAAATCTTTAATCTTTCAATTTCCCCACACTCTAACTTGAACTATAAATATAGTCCATAGAAGGTTAACCTAATTAAAAGTTCTCAGGTAATAAACCAAAGTTTTTAAATGAACTTTTGACTATTTTATAATTTATTAATTCAAATACACTCATGGATAGTATTTTATTAGCATATAATACCTACTAACATTGGAAGATTTCACTTTAATGCTGTTCATTGACTTTGGGTTTCCGTTTGTGGCTATGAGGAAATAAAACAAGATGTAAGACAAAAAGGAATATTAAAATGTTTAATTTTATTTTAAATATAGATTGAAAGATATGGATTCCCTGCTGATCTGGCGCTTTCGCCTCGAGAAAGCATCCAGCTTTATGACACCATGTTTCAAGCCTGGAAAACCTGGCCACAGGCCCAGGTAAATAATATTCATAGAATTAATGCTAGCAGATGGTAACAATGCTATTCTGAGCTCTCATCCTTTCTGATCCCTTGTACTTGACCTTTTGAAGCTATTCATTGTCTCTTCAAAATAAGATAGCCCTCATACATTGATCTTCAGAGGTTTTGAATGCTGTTTATTTAATTCGTGAGAATGTTTCTTCTTTCAACTTCTGGGATACTGTGGTATTTTAGACTCCTCTTACACTTTGGGTTTCTATCCTGCTCTTCCTGCGATCACAGTTGCCCTTTCTCTCTGTCCCTGTTGTTTCATCTTTTATTTATGACTTAGTTGGCCTCCATTCTTTCCTTTGAAGCATTCATGTATCCTCGTAGTTTTATGTATTAGAAGCAGTAGAGAATAATAAGAAGTTCATCAGTCTCTGTCCTCAAGAGCTTGAACTATTGTTTATGAGAAAGGCCTTTCGATTTTTAGGCATAATTTGATGTAGTTTTATGAGGGTTTTTTTCCAGAAACTGTATCTAGAAAATTTCATTCATTTTAAGAATAAATTAATCATTAAAAAGTCGGATGCCAGAAAATATGAAGAGAGCTTAAAGGCAGAATTAAGAAACTGGATTAAAAATGGACATATAGAGCAGGTAATTTTCACGTGGTTTGGCAAAGCACATATTGTCTTTATTGTTTTCTCGAGCTGTATCAGTTAATACCATTATGGTTTTTTCAATTGTCAATTTTAATTTTTGCATTTTAATTTGAACATGAAATTTAGTGATTCTGAGATAGAATAAGAAGAGGGAAAAATTGTTTTTTCTTTGATCCTCAGTGTTTCCTAAAACGTGAATGAGAGGCTATTGGTTCCTCATGGGTGTTATAACAGAAAGAAGCTGAGGGTCTGTATCTGTAGGGTGAAATGGTAATGGATTGACAGCACAAAGAGGGAACTCACAGTAGCTAAGAATAATTTTTATTATTTTTTCTTTTCTAGTCTTGGCATTTTGTAAGATGATTTTCATTTCAGCTAAAAATCTTTTTTTTTTTTTTTTTTTTTTTTGGTACCAGGGATCGAACTCGGGTCCTTGTGTTTGCACAGTAGGCGGGGAAACCACTGAGCTAAATCCCCGGCCCGACTTCATTAAAATCTTATGCTAGACTCATCAGTACACTAATTTTAAGTCAGTTCTAATCTTTATATTTGTAGATTTTTACTTCCATAATTTAAGATTTCTGATTTTTTAAGCATGGCATATATTAGTTTTCGCATGTGATTTTTCCATTGTATTTTAATTTGTTCTCCTATTCAGAAATATAAGGTAATTAATGTCTTAATAGCTTTCTTACTTGCTGAGACAAAATACCAGACACCTACAATTTAAAGGAGCAGAGAATTATTTTGGCTCCCAGTTACAGAGGTCTCAGTCCATACATGGTCCACTGGCTCTAAGAAAAAGTGGCATGGTGGAGGGAAGTGCACACCTCATGGCTGTGAGAAAGCAGAGAATAGTTAGGGACAATGATTTGGTACTGTACTCCCTGCCAAGTCCCGCCCCCTGTGACCCGCCTCTTCCGCCTCCTGACAGCAGTCAGCACAGGGAGCCCATGATCCAGTTACTTACCAGAAGCCCCACTTCTGAACACATGAGATATTTGGGGAAACTTGTAGATCTACATCATAACAATTTTTTTTGTAATTTTATTTTTCACTTGACAGCTTTACAAATGCACTTGGGAGTGACATTCCTACATGGCTTGAAACATTCATTTTCCCCTCCCCTCTCACTGTAGTGGAATCAGTATCAATTACTGAACAATCCTTCTCTTAGGTTGATTCAACTTGTCTTAAACATTATTTGTTAAATTGCATACACTTTTTTCTAGCTGAATTATTTGTAAATTCCTTTGGCTACTTTTAGCATGTTTTAAAATATATATATTTATAGTACTATTTTAAAGAACCATAGACATATACATTGGAAAGCTATGAAAATATTTCAGAAAGTAGTTGGAATTTATTTCCTTGCTAGGCAATCATATTATAATTGTTTTTTATCTGCTGCTGCAGGCTAAAATGGTACTAAGGACTCTTAGCCCCAATTCAGTTGTTCGTTCCGGAAATATGTTGGAGAAATTTCCACTTCTTGTAGAAAAACTAAAGAAAATAGAGAAGTTACCCACGTTATTTTTTATGTAAGTTATATAATTTGTTTTTATCATAATTTATATGAGACTTTTTTAAGGTGAAAAGAGGCATGCAAACTTTACTGTTGTAATATAATATTCATTACCATTTTAGGAACTAACTTGTTAGTCAAATATATATCTGGTCTAAAAAATACACCTTTCTCATTCAGTTGTTTTAAAATTTATTTAGTTTTGTTATTAGAAATTATCTTCTTTACTTTGTTAGTCCATTTTTCACTTTGTTTTCACTGCAAACTCATTACTTTAATACTATGATTTTGGTCTTCTTGATTTTAATACATACGTAGCTTCTTTGTGAAAAAAAATATACATATATATATATCCCACATAAAATTAAATTGTCTTGTGATATGCTAGAAGATTTACTGGCAGGAAATTTTAGTATTTTTAATATATAGTGATGAGAATTATGATCTGCAGGCACTGAAATCTTACTAAATTTTATATGTTAGAGTACAGAATAACTTAAAATTAAATTTAGTTAATTATCCCAGTAGTTCAATTACCCCAGTTATGATAAAGTGACAATAAAATATAATTTATTTAATGGATAATATGCTATATGCTGGATTAACCTTGACAATGTATAGAGTTTGAGTTCAGAAGGGAATACTCTTATATACTTTACATAATTCTAAATTATCCTTAAGCCATGAATCTTCACATAAAGCCACAGAATCTTGCTCATGTGGTGAAGTTTAATGGTACATGTTCACATGTAAATAGACATCCATGAATTCTCATGGATGATATATATTTAAAATAATGATGATAATCGAATGAAAAATTATATTTTGAAATTTGGGGATGGTTAT